CCCCAAAACCCCAAAACCCCAAAACCCCAGATATGTAAATAATCAAATTATCATGAATGTTAGAAATATAATAATCAGTTAGTGCTAAAGTTGAATATAAATCTTATAAATTCTCTTCCTCCATCTCTTGTAATTCTCACTCTTTTGCATCTTAAAACCATTTCTACCATTCTGGAGATTCTTTTATTCTTTTGTAGCAAGAAGGATTTCAAGGTATCCTTATCATTGAAAAACGAATTTACAAGATATTTCTTAAAGTAAATATATTCATCATAATCCTTATAAATGATATTAGTATCCTTATAGTACTTTTCAGCTTCTTTCCTCTCTTCCATATCATCTAAGCTTTCACTACAAATATCTCTATATTCTGAGAGGAAGAATTCACTAAGACATTCATCATCATCATCTTTAAGTCCAGCATTTCTAGATGGAATTTAATTCTTTTAATTCACGTTTATTAAATCAGGATTTAGAGGTTACTTTAAATCGAAGTAAACTTTTTTATCATGTATATATTTTTGCCAAAATAACATATTTACAGATCTGATAACGACAGGAAATAATTCTTCATCTAAATTTAAGTGATACTACTCTCGATACCGTAAGAAGAGATTACTGATGCCACATACAAATATTTTTATCTCGTAATTAGTCAAACTTTAATTATTTATTGCAGAAAAATCCGACATAATAAAATCTACTAATTATGATCTCTTATCTTTGCTTCCAAAATAATCAAACATTTGCTAAATATAATTATGAGACAAAGACAGAATCGCCAATACTCTTTATACTCTGCATTCTTTATCCATAATTCCTTTTAAATCCATCAGTGTATCTAAGAGTTAAGCTATATTAAACTATAATTCAACATTATAATGGTTGATGTGCATAACTTAGATCATTATAAAAATATCGAGAACATCTTTTTGAGTATAAATCTAAATTAGTTCTGGTGTTGAAAGAAGCTTGATACACATAAGACTAGCTTAGACTAGTATTTAAGAATTCATTTTATAGAAATCCTAACCAAAAGCAAGAAAAATTATCAGAGATTTGATTCTCTTAATGGAGAATGATTGCTCGAATATAAAGTGAAGATTTTTCAATGCAAATGAAGTTGTTGGAGTGAGTTATTTTTTTACAACAACTATAGCTTCAGCAACCTTAAGTAATTATATTTGATAAGGTTACAATAAATCATCTACCATCTGTCTAAACAAGGGCATTAGTTTTTTCTCAATTTCAATGAACTATTAATTATCAATTTAAGGCTAAAGGTTAAAGCAGCAAGCCCTTAATAAACTTAGCAAAGCTTTATCGACTGTCTTTGTAAGATTATTTAATTGATTTTCAGGATTTTATGAAACGTCCAAAACAGCTTAGGCTGTTGATCCTTTTTTCTATCCTAATTTCCTTTGCTATTCTTTTAACTGTTACTAAACTTTAAAGTTGTTCTCAACTATTTATAGAAACTTTAATGTTGAAGCTTGAACTACAGGAAAGTAGTTCAAGTTGACTTATTATCTCAAATTAGGTTCATCTTAAACCATTTATCTCCATCTCTTATTTAAATTTACAAGTTAAAATATTGATGTACAATCTTTTGCGTTCTCTACAACCTACATTGAGTTGTCTATGATTAATTGCATCATGTATTTTAAAGTATTCTTTTCAAAGTAATCAAGAAGCATAGTAATAACTTCACTCACATTCGGACATTCTTTTAACAATTATTAACTGAAAATTAACTTTATAATTGGACCATATCTATATTTGTTTGTATCAATAAAAATCTCTTCTTTCAAAGTATTTGAAACAATAAGGAATATTAATTTAATCAATGGCATAGGATACTCAATGAGGCTATTTGCAGCAGCGAAAACTGCTTCCTGAATCAGTTGCATTTATTCTTTCAGCCCTTATGTTTTTAAATGAGGATAAACTATTTAAATGCAAGCAAGAGCTGCATATATCCTAGAATAAATTGGAAGTCTTGATAGCAATATTGTATGTGCGAAATGCGATAAAAATGGATGAGAATTTACTTCAATTTTATCAGAGATACTGAAAATAAGCAATTCTTTAAGGTATTGGCAAATCAAGTTAACACAATCAGGAATCTTTTAACAGAAATATTCTGCTTAATTTATTGCAGCTCTTTATAGGGAGATTTTTCTTTCTGTTTAAGGAGTCAGCCATATTTTCATTTATATATTAAGAAGCTCCTCCTTTTATTGTTCTTAGGTGAGACCCTGTGGTAATTCAACAGACTCAGAATTAACGATTAAGAAAAATAAGGATTAAGGCATGAATGTGCTAGATAAAGAATGGTACATTTCTTTTATAGGAGTATCATCAATATGAGCTAATACATCTTTCATAAATTTGAGAATCTAAATAAAACATTTTTGCAAAAATTCATATCTGTTCATCTAATCCCAGTATATATTTATGAACTAGTTTATATTATTTGTTAGCAATGAAAGAAAGTCTGTTAGATTTTCATGAAATATTAAACATTTTGAAAGTTCATTAGATGGAAGTTTAATTGAAAGTCTCATAACATCAATTATATAACTTCCAAAGATGCATAAGTAACGATAAAAACTACTCCAAATTCTTTACTCATCATCCTTATTAAATTTATGAAATAAGTCTTTATTTGTATTAAACTCAATTTTAGTCAGAATCTTCCAAATTTTTACAATATTTGGATTATCAAGGACTTCAATAGTAAAAATATAGTTATTCTTAAGCTATGATATTCTCTGAGCATAGACTAGCATTGTTTTTACTATTTCTTTTATTCTCTATAACAGTTCTATTTCAATTTATGGAGTTTATATCTTGTTTACAATCATCAACGATTCAATTGCCTGTCGAAACAAAACATCATTGAATATTTTTATACTATCACAAAAAACAACAAATGCCTTATCATTTTATTATACTAGTTTTCTCAAAATTTTTATGCAGTAAACGTCAAGCTATCTCTAAATAATTGTTGTTAACAGCTAAAAAATTAGTTTTTATTGCTCAAAAGGAACTTTAAAAGTATTAGGATCCTATTTCATTCTAGATTTAATTGCTTCAAATATCGTTTCTGGTACTTTTTCTATGACATAATACTTTTTCGCAGTGATTAATTTGTGCTTAAGATAATAAACAAGGATCTATTCGATAGAAACAGCTTTGTTTTTATCAATAAATTTTTAGATTATCACTACTAATCTTTACTATGTTTCTGGGTCAAGCATTTCAAGTTGTTTACCGTTCTCATAATCATCAAATAAACATAGGATTTAGATTAATAAATCTGAATTCATCTGTTTTTCGATATTTGTATAGATTTCTTCAATCTATGAAAAAAGCTTGCAACTTCGAGTTTTTTCTATTTCTGTTATAATTTTAATCATATTATTATAATATATTTAATAAAAATTTGAAATGTTTACAGATGAAGAGGAAGTGATAAGAGATCTAGAAATATACCATAATGATTCTAGAACTATAGACCTATTAGATGGTCCATAAAACTAAAATGATTTTGATTCGTATGCATCTAACACAAGTGAAATCATGAAAGATAATTACTATAGTAGGGACATATCAAGTGATAACTTACTTTAGACTTTGTAAAACTATAAAAATACAGATGAATTCGTCATAGATAAGCATAGAGCAAGAAAAAATTTAATAAATTGGCAAGACATATCTACCATGAGTTAAACAGTGGATGTATCTGATATCAAGCTTACACATGAAAACGATAAAAATTACAATAATCTCTCTCTTGAGATTGTGAATGATGATAAACTAGATCTAAGTAACAATAAACTGATTCGCCTATTGCAAGGGACTATTTAAAATTATCAAAGCAAGGCAGATTTAATGAATGATGATTTTCTGCTTAATTCTATAGCATCGCACTTCAAGGTTTTATAACCTTTTTAGGATGATTTATTAGAATCATTTCAAGATATCAATGCTGAAGAGCCATAGATTTAGTTTCTGTATAATATCTATCAAAATAACAAAAGCCTTGACCTTGGATCTCACCCAGAGCTTATATTAGAAGAGAGGAAGAATGACAATAAAATAAATGTACTACCACCTTAGGAAGATTTTAATTTGATAGTTATAAGAACTGGGGAATGCAATAGTCTGTTTTAATTGCTTCCTTACCATAGATAGTTTATAACAGATAGGGCATAATTTTATTAGATAGATGAATATGAAATCTAGGAATCAATAAGAAAATTTAACTCATTACTCAAAGATACTAAAATAAAGAAAAATGAGTCTGACTGCAAAATTCTAAAAATACTTATTATATCCTTGATTATTTCATCTTTATGTGCTATCATTCTAGGTTTTCTAATACATTATGGAATGGCAATAATCTTTGCTTCAATATTTTTGCTATTGCTTAGCTACATATTTTATCGAATGAGTTAAAGTGAAAATGACAACTTAGCTATTTAATCTCAAGTATGTCTAGCCTTAGCAATAAGAGCAGAAAACTAAAGGTATTTAAAGAGATATATTAGGATGAGACCTGGTCATCATGCTAAATGGATTGAATTATATTTTTTATGAAACAAGTTTAGTTTATTATATAATTTAATTTAAACCTTAGAAAAGATTTAAAGATCAATTTGCTTCAGGGGTTTTGGGGTTTTGGGGTTTTGGGGTTTTGGGG